ATCATGTCCAAGATTTTGTAAAATAGCTTAGTGAATTGATTTACACAATTTTGTACTATTTAAAGATTTGATTTTCTTAAAATGTGGTGAGAGATATAAATAAATAATAAATTTCACCCTGAAAATAATTATCATGACCCTGAAAATAGGACGGGTGGGTGACTTAGGTTGAGTAATTCAAGCAATAAAGAAAGGTGGTATACAATGGAACAGAATCATGTAGACTGGTAAACAGCTAAACAATTTCTCATTGCCAATTCTAAAGTCTATCAGTGTGCAGAATATAGATACCAATGTCAGGTGTTCTAGTTGAACTACAGAAAAACTAAGAGAAGAAATGTTTAGGAACTAATGAAACAGTACTGCAAAGAATAAGGTTAAAATTTATGGTTAAAACTGTAGCAGCAGACAATCGTCTAAGAGCAGATGTAAACATTTTCTCTTCTTTTGGTTAGGAAGCAATATCCCCAGAATGTTCCCATTTCTAAAACATAAGTTTTATATTATCCCCTCTTCTGATCTCAATGTTAGGTGGTATTGCTTATGGTTCTGGCTTGACCCTCTCTTACCCTCCTCTCTTCCTTAGAATCTTAGCCTGTTCTAAAGTTTGAACTCTAAATACAGAGAAAAAAATTTCTTCAGTACCTTACTTCTCTACCCAGTTGCATACCTGGATATTTCTATCAGTCTGTTAACTAATTCACAGAACAGCTAAAACCATAAACCTCATTTATATATCTGTTCAAACGAATTCTTTTTACTAGTGAGCGTTCTCTCAGTCAATTGGGTTTTCAACACTCTGGAGTCATTTGAGTGCTTCCGTATGGTCCGTGAGTTGTAAAATCTTACTAATTCCTAATTTTTGACAATGATACTTTTTCTTTGTTCATTCACATTTTTCTTCTCTGTTGACTTTGTATTATACATAAATCAAATCCAACTATTTTTCTTATACTTACCCATACATATATGTAAGTCCTATACTTTCAGGAGTGATCCACAGTACCATTCCTTTCACTGGATTGCTTCTTTTCCTCAGTTTTCTAGCTCTGAAATACCAAACTCTACCCACTCTCAACTAAGAAAGCTATCTCCTGAAACAGCTTTGACCAATCACTCCCACTTTCCTTGTGAAGTAGAAAGTGCTTGGATATTATAAAGGGCCATTATTTTCAATTATGTGATAATGATTCTATCTTTTCCCAAAGAAAGACCAAGCTCATTAGAAATAGGTGTTGAGAGGCTGAAGAGATGGCTCAGCAGTTAAGACACTGGCAGCTCTTCCAGAAGTCCTGAGTTCAATTCCCAGCAACCACATGGTAGCTTACAGCCATCTATAATGGGATCTGATGCCCTCTTCTGGCATGCAGGTGTACATGCAGACAGAACACCATATACATACAATAAATAAATCTTAAAAAAAAGTAGGTATTGAATTTTATAATTTTGCTTTTCCTGATATTACAGGAATCAATAAATTTGTGTCAAATAGTGGCATCTAACCACTTTTCTTACTAATTTACATTTAAATATTGCTGCTACCATAAGGACAAGCTAATTCAAGGAAATCATGTATCTCTTGTAACTGTTTACCACTTATTGACTAAATTTAACCGATTTCTTCATGAAGACAAAACACTCCAAGTGTTTATCCATAAAGCAAATACTTATAAGCAATCTGTTTTCCTCCCTTTGATCTTCTCTCTAATGCTTCCTTATCTTACTGACATGACATTTAAGACATGGTAAAACTAACTGCTGTAATTCTTACATTAAGTTTTCATAGACAAAAACTCTTAATGATGTTTGATTCCCAGTGATTACTGAGACAGGTTTCTAAACTAATTCTTTAGATTTAAGAAAATCAAGAATGAACACAATTTTTCAAAGATCGTCAAAATTTAGCATCACTAAATGCTAGTATGTCAGGATACCACAAAAATTTGACTTCACAATAATAACCTCTTAGAAAGTTCATTATATAATACATATTATTTATTTTAATGAAAAGAGCTTAAGAATGGGCTGGGTTTTCTTTGAGCTATCAGTATCACTCTCCTCACATCTGTAAGTACTTCCACTGATTGTTTTCCCAAGGACTCTGCAACTGACAAATGAGGAACACAAAAACTACGATGGTACCTAAAAAGCTTGAGAGTGGCTTCAAATTTCAGTACATAAGCGAGGAAAACACAAGGTTATCTGAATATAGACAAAGGCAATCTGGCTATTGAAAAACCTCTCCAATTATTAATTTTAATTTAAGTATAGAAAGAAACAAAGGAGAACTGGTAAGCTAAAGAGGAACAGCATATTAGTAGTTATTCATAGTTTGAGTGTAAAGACACTTGATAAATTTAAAGTATTCTGGCAGGAGAAAAAGGTTTCAGTCCTTAAAATTGGGTACAAGTATGGACCTTCAGATACTCAGGCATGATTAATGAAAGCTGGATTAAAAGCTATCAATAGGCATGGAGAGAGGGCTCAATGGTTAAGAGTGCTTCCAGCTATTATTCCAGAGGACCCACGTTTGGCTCCTAACATCCAGGCAACTGGATGCCCTTTTCTGGCTTCCGTAGGTATCTACACACTAAGCAGCATTACCCGCCCCTGCCCCCTAAAAATAAGTCTTAAGAAGGCTATCCCCACTGATGGGCAAATTTATGCTTCAAAAATATGTAGATAACACAGATAGATCATATATAGGCCTTATGGCCCCCCAAAACCAGTGGTTCTCAACTTGTGGGTCACAACCCCTTTGGGGTTGCATGTCAGATTATTAACAGTGGCAAAATTATGTTATGAAGTTATGAAGTAGCAACAAAATAATTTTATGGTTGGGAGGCACTACAACATGAGGGTTAGGAAAGTTGAGAACCACTGTCCTAAATTCTTGAATGGTTCTATTTAACAACAGAATTACCTTTGTAAAAAACTTATTTGGCAATTTAATTAAAAAAAAAATCAAACAAACAAAAACACATTACAAAAGTTATAATTAATGTTTTAAACCTAGTATTACAAAAATCTTCATCCCGTTTGCTATGAATAAATAGAACCACAATGCTTTTCTGTGTCAGTTAACAAATCGTAGGTATTTGCCAAATAAAGTTGGATAAAGATTGTTCTGTTAGAACTAATTAAAGCCAGTCACTTCTCACTTTAGTTTGTTTGTGTGTGTTTGTGTGTGTGTGTGTGTGTGTGTGTGTATGGTGTGTGCAAGCATGTATGCAGACCAGAGGTCAATGTCAGGTGTCTTGCTCTATCACTTTCCCCATCTCATTTATCAAGGCAAGGCCTCTCACTGATGCTGGACCCTGCTGATTGGCTAGACTGGGAAGACTAGCAGGCCAGTGAGATCCTGGGATTGGCCTATTGCCACCTTCTAGTGTCTGAACTGCCACATCTGGATCTTTTTGTACATGGGTGATAAGGATCTAAGTTCAGGTCTACTGTCTTTTTCCCACCCAGAAATACATTTTGACCTATAAAAAACTATAAAGATACAGAACTTGCCTCATTTCTAAGATGCTAAAAGTATCTGTTATCTACTAAAAAGAACAAGTATTTAGCTGTAACAACAAATTATAGAGCAAGTAATTTCTGTGGTTGTCTTACAATAAAATCAAAGGACCATTTTAATATTAGATCAAAAGTATAGAAAATAAAGATCAAGCCTTTCCACAATGTATTAATGAAAATAATACATCATTCATACAGCTTATGAAAGCTAGGTATTACAAATAATTAAACTGCATTTGAATACTTACTGTATTCAAATAGAGTACATCTCCTTTGTATTCAGGAAAAGTATAAGGTATACCTCAAGTACTACTTGAAAGATTAAAACTTCATCTGTTTCATACTATAATCTACTTATGTGTTTCCTTATAATACTTTATACTGTTAGAGCAAAACTAATTAAAACTTGATTATATACAGTGTATTACAAAATTTAAAACTTCCTGTTCAAAAACTTTAAAATAATTTTTGGTTAAGTAAGGAACAAGCCATCTAAAAGATATAAAGTATAAAGTATTAGAAAATACCTTTATAGTTATACACACAAACAAATCAAGCCTAAAAATTAAAAGAAAGTTTTACTTATTTACTATTAATGGCAATGCAGACCATGTCTTAATATGACATGTACATGCACTTAGCAACTCTCTTTTCTAATGAAAAGAGGTAGTAGAGTTGAGTCCATGAGTGTTATCCAAAAAATATGCCAGAAGACACAAATGCGTTGCCAGGCAGAGTTAAAAGAATCTAACAAGCTTTGTGGGAATTTAAAAAACACTGTGCTCAACTCCTATTAATTAAACACAGAATGATGGATTGCTAATAAATATTCAGCCAAATAACTGAACAAAGCATATACTATTTAAAAATGTATGTTAAGCAGAAAGATAAACCAAAGTATCTTTTGCCAAATGTGAAGTCCAAGAGGTTTGTTTTTGTTTTTTGTTTTTTTTTTTTTTTAAGTGAAAAATAAGACCTAAACAGTATAAGCAATGTTTTGGGGGCTTATAAATTGTTATATAGATATATGAAATTCTAGCAAGCAAACGTTGGTAACAATTTTGTGTCAAAATTAATGATAATTTTGTTATCCAGGTCTTGTCCCTCTTCCAGTTTTTAATTTTTGAAATATTTTGTTTTATTATAAATCCTATAAAACAGCACAAAAATCAAGATTGATTTAATAGAAAAAAATGTTTTGCATTAAAATACATGAAGTAAGTGACTCTCTCAAGACAATGGAACATGTAAATGCTTAAAAATAGATATAACATGCACAGAATGTAGTAAAATAAAAAGCACATTTATATTATAAGAAAATAGTCTTTTTGGTTTATTTTGCTGCTTTGTCCCATGCTAGATATATCATGTGATTTCCCCCCTTTAACAAAAATCCCCTTTAACAAAAAATCAGTTTTATGCAAAGCAATTCATGCATACACTTTTGCATGTATGCATTCCATATCAAGTAATCATACCTATCCCAGAGGCTCTTTGATTCCTGAAACGTGTTCAAATGGAACGCTTGGTAGAAAGCTGTTGAAGGATTCCTGTGAGACCCAAGAATCAAATGGAAATGAAGTTGAGAATGTACAGTATATTCAGTACTTATAAAAAATGGAAGATTTTAGATTCTCATACAGTGTAACCACTTAAATTTGAAAAAGAAAATGTTGAGATTGTTTAAAACAGTACTTTGGAAGAAATTATAAAGCACACAAAATTCAGAACCCACAGTAATTCAGGATCAAAGTTCTAAAGAAGAATAAATAGCAGATAAATACCAGCATTCAATTGTGTGCATATACACATAAATGTAACCAGTACAGAGACTATCAAGACCATGTTGTATCAGATGCCTTAACGAGGCCATCTATGGCAGTTCTAGCTGTTGTTCTCCAGTAGCATATCCACATACAACACTAAGCTATAGCTTTCTAGGATTTGTTTAAAGTGAGAAGGGTTAATGATGAATAATGAAGAGTCCTTCCTTGGTTGGACATGATACATTTCCACTTTAAGTTTATCTGTGTGTAGTTTCTCTGGACTAGTAAAGGGGAAAGCAATGCAATTGTATGGAAGCATTCTAATTTCTTGTATGAGTATAATGCACCCTTTAAAGGGGGAAAAAACCTATCAATTGTATCACTCATTCCTACTATCCCTAGGAACACATTCCCTAGGGCCAACACCACAGAACAGCTGATAAGCTCATGTAGGCCAACTCCAGTAAGTACAACTGACCCTGTATGTCAGGAAATAATTACTCAAGGAACAAAGTTTTGACTAACCTGGGTTCCTAACAGTTTTCACTCATTAAGCATAATTCTAATGTCTTCCTCACCATCCACCTGTACTTTAGGGGGGGCTAACATGTACCTGTCATAGCACTTTAAAAATCCTTGACTCAGGACTGAATATGGTGGCTCAGTAGTTGAGAGCACATCTACTCTTGCTGAGGACCCAAGTTTAGTTCCTAGTACTCACTTATAACTGCCTAGGACTCCAACTCCACGGAATCTGATGCCAAATCAATCATCCACTCACTCAATCAATCTTTCTTCTCTGAGGCCACAAGAAAAAAAAAATCAAATCTTTTGATTCATGCTATAGTATGAGAACAGCAGCAAAGAACATACTTATACCCAGTGCTATTCAAACTACTTTACATTTATTGACTCAATTTCTACAACAGCCCTACCTAAAAGGGATAAAAGGTAACTTCTCAAATGTCAGAGTAGGTGGCCTAATTTTATGCTTTTAACCACTATATTAAGCATATCAGAGTTAAAACCTGACTTCTCTAGCTCTATCTTCTTTTAAATAACATTGTTATTAAATAATTAAACATTATGATTAAATAATACAATTGTTTTATTGAACCTTGTCCAATAGTTGAAGACCTGTGACCATATCTAAATAAATCTTCTGGGTACAGCCAATGCTCAATTGCTATTATGTTACTAAACAATAATCTTCAGATGCGTTTCTGAAACCTTAGTAGGTAAATGCAAGGTTTCTGGATTACAGTGAAGTAAGAAAACTGTTTCTGGGGCTGGAGAGATGATTGGTTCAGCAGTTAAGAACACTTCTTGTTCCTGAAGAACACTCAAATTCAATTCCTAGCACAGATGTCAGGCTCACAACTCACTGCAACTCCAGCACCAGGAGATCCAACACTCTCTTGTGGCCTCCACCAGCACTGGCAGACACATAGCAAAGATTCACATAAAACACATGTGTATACAAGTAAATGAAAAAGCAAAAAACAAAACCTTAACACTATTTACAAAGTTGACTGCAACAGCAACCAAATATCAACAATCAAATAAAAACAATAGAATCCTGACTTCAAAAACCTCAATTGAATCAAGCTATGTTGTAAGCACAACCATTTTTTATATAGCATTTTAGATTTTAACCAGTAGATACCACTTTTGATAAAGCAGAAAAAGCACAGATACTGCATAACAGAGAATCACCAAAGTAGCTGTTGGATTAATTAGGACTTTTTAACAATGTGTAGTTTTTACTGCTTTCCTTATTCTATTTCCTTTCTATTCTCTGAGTCTTTTTCTTAACTAGGTCTAAGGCAATCAAAAGCACAGAGTGCATCTGCCAACAACAAAGTTTAAGAGGACACTAACATCTAACTTGTTAGGCTCTTTTTTCCACTGTACTTCAAAATCAAGCCAGCCAAGTAAGATAAAAGGCAAATGAACTGAAACCCTAATTTGGATCCTCCCACCAAATTAGGATTGCCCAGGACCATATGAGAACTGGATTGCTATTCCTTATATTGTTTAGAAACTTCAACTTTAATGGAATGACTCAAAGAAGACAGGAGGAGGAGACTAGTAGAGTAAACTTAGAAGTTAGTCTCCAGTTTGGAATTACAAATTCTTTATAAAGAGCATTTAAAATTAAATATATTCAGAGGGATGACATTATAAAAAGAACTTCAGATATTTTGAATTTGGAAATATCTGTATTTAATTTGAAGCAAATTCATCTGCTAAACAAATTGGCTCGAATAAAGTCTTATGTTATGAAATGCCACCATTTTTTTCAATGTAATGATACAATGTTCCTTATAAATCAAATATAAAATAAAAATTATCTACAGTTAATAGTAAACCTCAGGGTATGAAAAGGATCTATGATGGCTCAGAGGTTAAGAGCACTGCTTGCTCTTCCAAAGGTCCTGAGTTCAATTCCCAGCAACCACATGGTGGCTTACCACCATCTGTAATGAGATCTGGTGCCCTCTTCTGGCCTGCAGGAATATGTGCAGACAGAACACTATATACATAATAAATAAATAAATCTTAAAAAAAAAAAGATGTATGATATAAAGTACAATAAGGGGAGAAAAGGATATATTTTATTTAGTGGTTTTGAAAAATGTCTACAAACAAGAAAAGAGCATTTTAATTTAGATGGTTGCAATAAATTCAAAATAAACTACATTTTATTCTTCTAAGAATTGCTTTACTTAGAGTAGTAGTTTATATTCACTTCAAGTAAGTTGTCTGAAAACTGGTTTCAAATGTACTTTCTTGCAGAAAAGATATATGGTCAAAATGTACAAAAGTTTAACATTATGTCAGTTACAATTTTGTGCTATCAAGTTTCATTTAGCATTGAAATATCTTATTAACAGAGGTTTCCCTGAGACCTTAGTACTTTCAATTTTTATGTTATTCTAAAGTAATTGTTAACTGTGTGCACTAGTATTTACAAATAGCTTTTTCCTTCTCTATTCCCTGGCTTCATTTACTAGTCTGTCACATTAATTCCCAGGACATGAAAACAGTATACCAGAAAGTGACCAACATATATAACACATATCCACTTGCTTTAGCAAGACATTCTATTTGTAGGGTAACTATAGTAGGAAGACAAAACACATATGCATATTCTACATCTCAAAATAAAGCTAAAATGCTGGTGAAGTTTAAAGGGAAAGGTATGTGACCCTCAACTCAACAAAAACCTTCTCTTTCCTATATGTCAAAACTCAACTTTTAAGATTTAAATAGAAATCAGACAAAAACTCAACAAGGGCCATCAAATTTATGTGTGGATTTTAAGTATTTGTAAGTATCCTTCAGGCAAAAGGTCACAACATAACCTATCAGAGCTTACAGTAATTTTCCTTTCTTTCCACACCATTCAATGTTTGCTAAGTAATAAAGCAAAAGAGTACTTTGGAGTGGCAGACCTAAGTGTCTGTTTTGTCATGTTTCCTCAATCCATAAAAGAGAATAAAATACTTGTGTACAGTACACAAATGGGATTATGTTTATATAGGGTTTTACATAATTAAGCTTAATTTTATGTTGTACAAAATCCAACTTTTGGTAGAGAATCTTAACATGTATCAAGTATCTCATTGCCACCACGGTACTGTTGAAGCAAAGGGAATACTTAAATTTAGAGCTAGGCGTACCAAATCTTTTAGTACATTCTACCAAGTAACAATTCTGACTTTTGGGCCTCAGTGCAACCCCAACTCAAAACACAACTTTATCACACTTTAATGTATAATACAATAATCACCAAAATGAGTACTGAAGTAAGTTGTAAGACACACACTACTTTAGCAATAAGAGCTTCAAGAAAAGCTTTTAAGTAGCAACTATAAAGTTAATGTAAGAATTTAAATTTACTGTGGTATTAAGCCCTTCACTCTGCTTCCTGTCAAGTTAATCAAATAATTTCCCAAGTATGACAGAGTCTCCCTCTTCAGTTTCATTATACAAGCTGCCACTTCTCTGAACTTAGCAAGGTATTTCTCCTATCAGTGATCTAATGTGAATGGCCCTTTTAATTAAAACCCAGTTCAAAAGTCAGCCTCTCAGTCTGGAAGGAAGGGACTGGACCTGCCTGGACTGAGTCTACCAGGTTGATCGCAGTCCTCGGGGGAGGATTTGCCCTGGAGGAGGTGGGAATAGGGGGTGGGCTGGGGGTAAGGGGAGGGGCTGGGAGGGGGGAGAATAGGGGAACCCGTGGCTGATATGTAGAACTGAATGGTATTGTAAAATAAAATAAATAAAATAAAAAAAAAAAGTCAGCCTCAGAGGAATGCACAAATAATGGATTGATCTGAAGACAGGAACTGGGTGGCTGGAGAACAGAGGTAAGAAGTCTTCAATTTGTCCAGGTTGGACATTCTGAGTTCTGAACTATATACATCCATGCATATGCAAAGACAGTGTCTGAACAGAAGTCAGTCTACATTATGAAATCAAATTTCTTAAAGACTGTTTCCCACAAGCACTTACTATCTACTCCATCAAAGATTAACACATATAACAACTATAACCTAATCATGTAGACTACCACCTCAGAAGAAAGAGAATCTCATTTCTGTACCCTAAACTACTTGGAGAACAAACACTACAACAATTGAATGTCTGGTGTGTTGTTCCTTTAGTTGTTTACTTTGCATTCATTCAATTTACTTCTCGAGTATTTGAGTATTTAAGTAAAGAAGTAAGCTTCATTTTCTTTCTTCCTTCCAATCAATCAATCAATCAATCAATCA